CTGGCACCTTTGCACACCTATTATCTAGTGAACTGTATGGCAAAAAATAAATTCTAATAAATGTGTGCATGATATATCGTATTTCATGAAATACTATTGTGTGATATAAAATGTTCTCCTATATTTTCCCACATTTTAATGTTTCTGAAATAGGAATGTCTAATAATTAGTAAGTATGTTTGACTACCATGTGTTCCCTTCTCTTTTCTCTTGGAAGGCATCTAACACCTGGTATTCAGAGGGTCCAGAAAATACAATATTGATGAACAGTTTCTAGCATTAATAGAAACTGTATCAACAACTACTTTTCTTACTGATGTGGTCAATTCTTGATTTTCTATGGTAATACAGGACAGGAGTGGCTAAATATTCCCTAATGATGGAGAAAAATATATAAATGATTTGAATATATTTACCAAATAAATCACTTTTTTTTCAGAATTATCAAGTTATTTTTCTGAAACTAGTATCCAAAAAAACCTGGTTTCTGAATATGTGCCAACTATTGGAATCAAACGATTCTAACACCTCAATCAAAAGCATACAACTATGAGCGCATTAAACTAAAAGCGTCATCTTTTAATACGCTGTAACATATCCACCTTTTCTTTCTTATACTTACTACTGGACTTTATTTTAAATGATGGCAAGATATACTGCTTCCTCAACCATGTTTTTCCTCGCCAGATTCTGTAATTCTGCTTACATGGGACAAAGTCTTTATTATGTCTACAAGATTTAACTTTTGCCTTTTCCACTTTTCCAAAACTGTTCTATCATTTAATACATCTCTCATTCTAAAAATATTTGCCCTCACAAGGTTTCAGGCTCCTTAAATTATTAATGATTTATGCCCTCAATGTTCTGTACTTATGTAATTAGCCTTTTTCTCTGCCCACTACCCTAATCTGCCTATGTTTTAAATATATATTCTTATTTTTATTAAATGAATCCAGCAGGGTATTTTTAATTTCTCACTAAAAATTAAGTATAAAGCATGACATTACAAATGATTAATTCTAATCAATGTGATAACATGCTGGCAAAAACTTGGATAGGAAATAGAGGTAATTTCCCCAAAGATTTACCAATTGATGTCGGTCTAAATCTGCAAAGGTTGGACTTGATCAGATTGTGTACTAGACTGACTTTAGGTAAATCTACATGACGAACATGAGTTACTTCATAGTCAAACATGCACTACTTACATCAGAACTTACATCCTGGACTCCTAAGAACAAAAAAAGTTTACAATACTGAAAAGATTATGGGATATTATCTCAAATGCTAAGCCTCCTGGTGTTTCTGTTTTTATTTTTCTGTCAATAGATGTACTTTCTGACGCAATTAACTGAAAAAGTTCTATAGGAAAATACCAGTTTCTGATACTAAATCAAAATGGCTCTAGTATTTAATTTAAATCTAAAATAGAAATAACATAAAAATGTAGATATTTATATTAACAGAACATGCTTTTAACAAAAAGAAAAACTGCCTTTGACTCTAAACCACATCATCAGCTGTAAAGCTATCTTAGTTTAGTTTCTTTAAAAGCTACAAACTATATTCATATGTAAAATTACTTAAAAAGAAAAAATATATTCTCATGTCGAAGGGGAAGGAGGAAAGCTTATGAAAGCTGTTAATCCCCCCAAAATCTGCTCTTACTTACCAAATTTTGGAACACTCTAGAATTATAAATAAAAATGCTAAGCTATACTTTTATAATATTTCTAGAACACTAAATATATTATAATCAAATCTCAATTGAAGTTTAAATATACTTTATGATTATTAAACTAGTCATTTAATACTTATACATTTAACAATTAATATTTCCTTAATCACAAAGCTAATGCCAGTGTCATTTACCTGATATGAAAAAACTGTCCAAAATGTAATAAATATAATTTAAAGTTATCATTCTGAAAGTTAATCACCTAACAGAAGTCATTCATAATTTATGGTATTTCTATGGTTTTGATTAATTCATTTTAGTTAACACATTTTTGTTTGCCATTTCCATGGAGATTTACAAAAGTTATCACATATGTATTGCAAAATGTATCTGTATAACTGAATTGACATTAAGCCTATTTAATCTAGAACATTTCTAAAAACTTCACTGAGCTGCCATAATTTTTGTCAGCATATGTAGTACTGAATGACCATTAAAATACCTGAATTGAAACTATTCCAGTCTAGCAGTTTGTAAGATCTTGTGTTACCCATAATTCCGACAAAGGCTGAGTTCAAAACAGCAAATTAGTAGATCAGTTTTAGGTGCAGAATAGTAAGAAAAAAACAAAAAACACTACAAATAAGAACACAATTGACAACACCACTTGACAGGAACTAGAAAGACACAGACAGCAGAGTTAATAAGAAGTAGAAATAGATAGAGAAGAAGGAACATGCTATCATAATCTAACATTAACTAAAGTCTAATTAAAGATAATTACCTTTTCAAAACCACCCCACTCTTTCCCTTATTGTATGACCCTGTTTGCTTAATATTTAAAAAGAGGAAGTTCTAAAAGAAATAACTCCAAAATAACAACCCATGTAGTAGGTGGTTGTGATTTTAAAATTAAGACTTTTCCTTCCAATAAAGATGTTAAAAAAAAAAAAAAAAGAATAAAACAAATTAATGAATAAAAAAAAAAAAAAAAAAAGACTTTTCCTTTTACACTCAGTGTGAAAAGAAAATTTCCCATATTCACTAGTCAAAAAATAGCTGCAAGATTCATCTGAGAGTCCAATACAGCACTTTTAACATTAGCACATGCACCTCATCCATCATAATTTTCTCTCGGCAGAGTAACTCAGTGTCATAAAATTAATACATCATCATTATGGTAGATGCTAACTGAGTTTTAACATTCAGCTCTTTTCAAAATTAAAATTTTTTTCATAAATAATTATTTAAGGGGCCTGGAGATTAAGAAAATGTTAAGCAAATGTTCCTTTTTAATGCATAATACACATACAAAAAACACAATGCAAAGAATGTGATAACTATATCAAAATAATATAATAACTCAACCATTAGACTATGTAATTGATTTGTGTTTAACTGAAAATAAAACAAAACTGAAATACAACTTACATAACATTAAAGTATTTATATGTATATGCCCACAATCTTCTGGGAAATAAAACATTAGTAACTGAGAATTTCTCCATGTGAATTGAAAAAATATTCTGATAGAGAAGGAAAGGAAGACAATGGATGAGCTGTAGTTACAATACACAAAATATATTCTGTAATAAGGAAGGATTTGTGTTTTCTTCCCTGGGTCTGGATTCTTACATTTCTTACACAGCTAGAATAAACTGGCAAGTATGGAAAACCCCCAAAAGCAGTTGTTGTTGTTTTTAAGTAATGCCATGTAAAATATGGCTCTCTACTTAAACTTAGTTAAGTAACCTTCATTTGTTCTCCCAGACTCTACAGCTTACTCAGAGTATGTGGAAGCAATGATGACATCAAAATGTTTTCAATAAACAGAAGACATCACCAACAACTGAATATATTCCTGAATTTTTGGAGCTATTAGATCCATGGGTGGGTGCTGTCTATCAAAATATTTGAGTCAAGGGTCCACAGAAACACAGGTAACTTGGCCTTGGATCACCCAGTTAATGTCAAGTATTAACTCAGTATTTCCTTGCACTTTCCAAATAATTCAAGTTCCTAAACACATAGATATGAAACTTGGCATAGTCCTCAAGGTCTCAATCCAGTAAACTGGCCTCAGTCTAAACATGCCTTTTAATTACTGCAGAATATGCAAATACTACATGAAGATAAGATCTCAGATTGACTCAAAAAGTAAGGAACAGGGAAAAAAAAATAAACCATAGAAGAAAAAGAGAAGACTTGTGCTTAAAAGATGTATTTGCTCAGCTTTAGAGTTAAATAATCCTAGCTAGTCTTGCTTTTCTGAAATCCTGTTCAGGGTCTAGAAAAATTCCATTCTGCTTAACTCAAATGACATCAAACCAAAGGACACAGATTAAATTTCTTAAAAATCTAAAAGAATGGTAATGCTCTGTATCCTCAAAATCACTATTTGTGTTTTGCATACAATAATTTCAAAGCATTTTTCTCTTTTATATAGCTGTCGGTACAAGCCCCAGGAAGAGGTTACTGGAAGTGACAATTTAAAATTTTCAAAAACATATCTGATATGTGCCAAGTAAGAATATTAATATAACTTCAGGTTTAAGGTATGTCATCAAAATAATAAGTGATTTGAGCAAGTTATTGGGCATCTAGTCAATGAGAGATGTGAGAACAGAGTCCATAGGAAAGTTCCTACCATACTTATCATGCTTATTTTAGGTTTAGAAAAATCATCAAAGCATTTTTAGTCCAAGGGCTTGAAATTACTAGGACTTCCATGCCTCTTCTCTTTTATAATCAAGACCCCGTGTTTTAAAGAAGTGAGCTGTCATTTTTTCTTGTTCACTTATATGGAACAAATAGCTACATAAAAGAAACCAAGGACCCAAAGAGAATAGTTGCCTTTTTTAAACTCTTAAGGTACTCTACACAATGTTTACAATTACATTTTAAAACAATACTTCTTTTATGAATAAGGAAATTACTCAAAATCCATAAAGAATTATTGCTAGTGAAAAGAATTAACATCTTAAGCTAATGGCCACAATGATCAAATTGTAAAATTTGTTATCTGCATGGGTCAAAGAAAATAATAGCTGACTCAAAAGTGACTTAAGGATTCCCTCAAAGTGATACACCTTGGCCAAAGATGAATCAAGATTTGTTCTGTATACAAACGTAACTAAAATATATACTTAGTTTAATTATTTTTAATTAAGATTACTGCAAATATTTTAGAGCAACGTGCGTCAGTTCATACTTTGTCATTCTTCTTTCTGGATAGATTTGGCTTAAAAAATTATAAAAATCAATGTTAATAATCACAATGTCAGTAAATGAAACATCGAAAACAAACTTCTAAAGAACATACCAGGATTGTGGATACGATCCAAAAGCTTCACAGAGCGTGCACTAACAACTCCCCCGACATGCACGAGGAATCCAGGAGGAAACGCCGTCAAGGTAAAAAATGGAAATTCCTAGTAGAAAGAACGGGGGAAGAAAACAACTGACCATGTGTGAAGTACAAAAAATGTGCTTATTAAAAAGCTTGCCATAAGGAAATGAATTTACCCCTTACAAAAGGCTACCAATTATGCATTACAGATGCTTTGTAATTAAAAGTTTTCTTGGATGTTAGAGCTCTAAATCCATTTTCCCACATGTTATACAAAGTCCGAACACTCTTTTTATCAATTCTAAATGAGAAAGAAAACGTTCTCAGAGTTCCAAATTAAGATATTTGAACAGGGGGCTTCCGTGGCGGCCCAGTGGGTGGGACTCCTCGCTCTCACTGCTGAGAGCCCAGGTTCAATCCCTCGTCGGGGAACTAAGATCCCACAAGCCACACGGCATGGCCCCAAAAAAAAGGTATTTGAACACACTCTTCCTTCCTCGCAATCTCCTATTCTGATGCAAGGTGGCAATGAGACAGGAGGGCGGGGGGGGGGGGAATCTGCCTGCCCCGCTACCCCACATCTACTTCTCAGTGGGCGTAGACTATCCCTCAACACACATACCCTATCCCGGGCTACCAGTAAAGACTGAAGGTCTGGGGCAGGAGATGGAAAAGAATGTGGGACTCAGGGAGGAGGAGACAGAGATGAGCAGATCAGGTTAAGAGCTACATAGAAAGGTGAAGAGAAGAGCCAATGTCAAGTTCAGGTGGGCAGAGAATCATTGTGTGAGATTATTTTCTCTATTAACATGGGGGCAGCAGGAAAAAAATATAAAAACATAAATGCGTATTAAGAAAGGGGAGAGGTATGCAGATGACAGTAAGGCGGGCAATAAAATTCTACAAGTTCTTTTAGGCTTTATTCTCCCCTTCTCTCTCAAGGATATCAAACTTGTCAATTTACAGACAAAGAGAAGCATGCAAGAGAGAAATGGCAAAGCAGAGAAAGGAAATTCATTGAAACAACACCCAGAAAGAAAGGGGAGTTCCTGTGGTTGCCCAAATACAGAAGCCTCTCGCGTGGTACAAATTGGATGCAAGTATGGGAAACTTAACATCCAACCTGTCTAGCTGCAAGATTAATGTAGCTCACTTAACCAGAAGTCACTTACCAGTAGCCTCAGCTATTCAGAACATAACTGAGAACTGGAAAATAAGCAAAACAGGGCCCTCAACAGTCAAAAGAACTGTTAGTTCCAAGTACTAAACTTCAGGTACTTCATTCATAAGAGATCCCCACAGACCATATTCATATGATGATATATGGTAATTATAAATGTATAATGTTAGGAACATATTCTAAAATCTATTGGTATCTTTTTTCCTGGACCCACAGCAGATTAAATGCAGCAAATAAAAGCTGGGAGATAAAGAATATTACTAGAAGCAGGCACATTAAAAACAGCAAGATTACTGATTGTCTGCTTAAAGCATGGAGAATACGAACTGACCAAAGCATAATTCACACAGCATAGCAACTTGGAGCCATTTACCACAGAGGCAAACAGTCCTGCACACCTCAATAACTCATGAGATACAGTATTAAAAAATATGTGTGTGCATGTGTGTGTGTACATACACACACATACATATTTAGAAAATTCTAAATTCTTTTAAAATTCATTCGAATTTAAAAGTAATCTTTAACAAGGGCAAGAAAAACCTAGGCTATACAGAAAGGAGTAAAAAAACAGTCAATGGAAGTGGACAGGTTTGGCCCAGCTGATAGGAAGAGGAAAAGGAAGAGAAGGGAGACGACGGGAGGAGAATTTTACTTAAAAGTATTATAAAATGGTTAGTCAAGATAGCTCCTTATTTCCATCTAAATTTTTTAAAATATAAGTTTTAAATGAGGAATGTACAGGTAAGCTTATGTTACTGGAAACTTTAGTATTTTACCTAATAAGTTAGATCTCTAAGGTTTTTCAATTTTAAGAATACGGAAGTTTTTAAATTTCCTCAAACTACTGTGGCCAAGTATAAAAAAACACTTTACACTTAATCTTGATAGTTAACATTTTAAATATTCTGGGTAAGAGACACTGAAAATGAAAATTTTGTAAGCTAAATGGAAAACAGTACTTCCACCAAAAATTGAGAAATAAATTAGGTAAATTCCATGCTGGAAACCATCTGCATATAAGATTTCAGATAAGTATGAAAAAAATGAACCTAAATGATTTCTCTATTCAGGATTCTTTGACTCTTCTCCCCAGATTTCAGAAGATGGGATAAAGGGACAGGAGGGAAAGCATCACTCTAGAGCCGGTCACAGCAGAAAATGTAGGGGAATGGCTGCCCAAAGAGGCGGAGACCCACGCTACCAACTTAAACTCTGTCCTAACTGTCCCCAGTTCATCCAGCACACTCCCTCAGTTTAACACACAAAATTTAACCTACAATTAAAATGACATCGTTAATCAACCCAAACTAGCATCTTCAGACAATTCTCTCAGAAGAGCTACTGCCAGTATCTCAGCTGACTGTTAAATACCTATCCTCCCACTACCATCACCAATGACTACTATGGAGCACTTACAGCGTGCCAGTCCTACGCACAGTAGCTTAAAACTGTGCTTCACAATCTTTCCCACACCCTGAGACAGAGGTACTATCATCTCCGTGTTTCAGGTCAAAAACTGAGATGAAGAGGGCTTAGGTTCTCTCTGAACCACAGACTTTATCACCTGGCTTCTTGCCATTTCTGGTTAAAACACTGAGTTAAAGAATTGATCTTAATCTCTAGTCCGTTACTATACCTGATGAATCTATAGGTTCTCTTTCACTGAAAAGGACAGCCTCCTTAAGATCAGCCCAAGCACACCCTGCTTTCAATGTCCAGATGGGAATGCCAGGGACTACAGAAGACATTTTCTCTGGAAAGCCCTTATATTAAAAATATCCTGGTGGTTAAGAATCCGCCTGCCAATGCAAGGGACACGGGTTCGAGCCCTGGTCCGGGAAGATCCCACATGCCACAGAGCAACTAAGCCCCTGTGCCACAACTACTGAGCCTGTGCTCTAGAGCCCGCGAGCCACAACTACTAAGCCTGCGTGCCACAACTACTGAAGCCCGCACGCCTAGAGCCCGTGCTCCACAACAAGAGAAGCCACCACAATAAGAAGCCCACACACCGCAACCAAGAGTAGCCCCTCAGTCTCTTCAATAAGTGATGCTGGGAAAACCGGATACCTACATGCAAAAGAAGGAAATTAGAACATTCTCTAACACCATACACAAAAATAAACTCAAAATGGATTAAAGACCTAAATGTAAGGCTGGATACTATACAACTCTTAGAGGAAAACGTAGGCATAATACGCTATGACATAAATCACAGCAAGATCTTTTTCGATCCACCTCCTTGAGAAATGGAAATAAAAACAAAAATAAACAAATGGGACCTAATGAAACTTAAAAGCTTTTGCAGAGCAAAGGAAACCATAAACAAAACGAAAAGACAGCCCTCAGAATGGGAGAAAATATTTGCAAATGAAGCAACCGACAAGGGATTAACCTCCAAAATATACAAACAGCTCATGCAGCTCAATATTAAAAAAACAAAAACAAAAAACCCAATGAAAAAATGGGTGGAAGATCTAAATAGACATTTCTCCAAAGAAGACATACAGATGGTTAAAAAGCACATGAAAAGATGCTCAACATCACTAGTTATTAGAGAAATGCAAATCAAAACTATAATGAGGTGTCACCTCACACAGGTCAGAATGACCATCATCAAAAAATCTACAAACAATAAATGCTGGAGAAGGTGTGGGGAAAAGGGAATCCTCTTGCACTGTTGGTGGGAATGCAAACTGATACAGCTACTATGGAGAATAGTATGGAGGTTCCTTAAAAAACTAAATATAGAAGTACCATATGATCCAGCAATCCCACTCCTGGGCATATACCCAGAGAAAACCATAATTCGAAAAGCTACATGCAACCCAGTGGTAATTGCAGTGGTATTTACAATAGCCAAGACATGGAAGCGACCTAAATGTCCATTGATAGAGGAATGGATAAAGAAGATGTGGTATATATATACAATGAAATATTACTCCACCATAGAAAAGAACAAAATAATGCCATTTGCAGCAACATGGATGGACCTAGAGATTGTTATACCGGGTGAAGTAAGTCAGACAGAGAAAGGCAAATATCATATGATATTGCTTATACATGGAATCTAAAAAAAGGCTACAAATGAACTTATCTACAAAACCGAAATAGAGTTACAGATGTATAAAATAAACTTATGGTTTACCGGGCGGTAAGGGAGGGGGGAGGTTTAAATTGGGAGATTGGGATTGACAGATACACACTACTGTATATAAATTAGATAACTAATAAGGACCTACTGTATAGCACAGGGAACTCTACTCAATACTCTGTAATGGCTTATATGGGAAAAGAATCTAAGAGTGGATATAGGTATATGGATAACTGATTCAATTTGCTGTACAGCAGAAACTAATACAACGTTGTAAATCAATTATACAACAATAAATATTTTTTTTAAAAAAAGAGTAGCCCCTGCTCACTGCAACTAGAGAAAGCCCATGTGCAGCAACGAAGACCCAACACAGCCATAAATAAATAAATAAATACATACATACATACATACATACATACATACATTTTAAAAAAAATCTTGCCCTGTGGAGCCTAGATAAGACTTCATATGTTGATACTTTGACATAAGCCAAGTACATGCAGCATAAATCATTTAACAGCATGTGCTCAAAGACAGGCTAGTTGAAAATTCTGAGAACAAAATGGATTTTTTTTTTAAGATTTAAATAGGATTTTTCTTAGAAGATATTTAAGCAATTTTTTTTGAAATCAGAGATTCTTTTTATTATCTCAAGACACCAGAGTAAACTTTCTAGATATAAAACTCCATGCCAGGTTCCTACTATGATTTATTATATAATTTTATCCCCACTTCTAAAATGATAATTTGTCAAAAGACTTTGCTTTATATCTAAGTTTCCCAAAGTTAAAGAAAGTTTCTTTCTTTAAATGGAAGACTCCATGGTAAAATATATTTGGGAAATACTAGGTTAAACTAAGTCAATTAGGTTTCTTTATTGAAGAAGAATATACATCCCGGAATCTAAAAAGTAACTTCATTTTTCTTACAAGTGAAAAAAAATCATATTGAAAAAATAAATCTATTTGCTTTACAGCAAACAGTTCACAGGCAGAACCTAAATCTAAATAAAAGTTTTATCTCTATTTCTCATCTTCCAGTAATCTGATACCTGTTACCAAGATCTTGTCAACTTATTTTTTAATGCTTTTGTGAGAGAAAAAAAATAATAACACTTTTATTTTTGAGAACTGCTACTTGAATAACTCATAAAATAAAAAAATGATGGACAAATAAAGCTTCTCTTTTCCATAAGAAAAAAAAGCCATATAGTTTATTAAAGGTAGCAAGGGGTAGAAATGAGTATTTTAAAATGAATATATAAAATGGTAAGTAGATCATGTGTTCAATTTGATCGAGTGTTCAACTTGGCAGAGTTAAGGCATATCTGTACACATACAGGGAAAATTCTTCATACTTCTGTACATATTTTTCCCATACTAATGGCAACCACAGGTAAATGGGAAAGCCAAACAAGATAATGCTTTTTCTATTATTACGTACGCAGGGTAGAGAGGGAGGCTCACAAATTCAAGTAACTGCCACTGGAAGGTTCGGTAATGTAAATATATTGCCAATTGAGGCTTTATAAAGTTGTAAATGAAAACTGTAGCTCTCCATACCTTTGCTGTTAATGCCACGAGGATTATCTAGTAATGTATGCCCAATATGTTAATGTGTCCAAAATTTTAGGAATTTTTGAAAGCATATTTGAAAACATAAATATTATCCAAACTAAATCCAAAACAATTTTCATTGATTAGTATTTTTTTTTGTTTTAAAGCTAGGTGCTCCTCAAACTTCTTAGTACAGAGAGTAAAGTCATGGGCTTAACATACAAGCAAAATCTCATTATAGCAAACGTCAAGGCAACTCAAGTTTTTCTGTTCCTGTGAATTCTAGAATGGTAATTAGATTACAGGAAATATTCCTAGTGTACAGGACTCGAGAGAGTGTAAAACTGGGAGTAGGGAGGCGGTAAGAGCTCTCTGGCCTAAAAACTGTAAGTGACACACACCTTTATTTGACCTTCTTCCCCATGTTGTTAGTCTATGTTTGGTTTCAATGCACAGTCTGAATGTTTAGGTGGGCTACTTGATGGCCTGGTTGGTATGCCTGCCAGATGTGAGAGTAGCTGAAAGGCAACTGCTGCCTGACAGAGCATAAGGCAAAGAACTAGGTATTGCTAAAGTCCCATCGCTCTGTTTGTTCAGCTCTGTTCTCTGGAGCCTCGTCTAAAAGGCAAACAGTGCGTACACAGATACTTTCAGCACTAGGAAAGAAAGTCTAAAAAAATTACTTATTGTACTGTTTATAATAATAGGATCTGAAAAACACTCTTCTCAAAAGTCAACCTCTAGAAAAGAAATACCTTTGGTTTATAAAATACACCCTTTTACAGCCATTCACTATGTTTCTTTTATTTTAATTTAATGCTAGTATAAAATGGAACATGTAAAAGAAAATTCTGTAAACGCTTATAACTTCCAAATCAGACATAATGAAAGCTATGGAACTGTGCCTTAAAATAACTGACATGACATATAAAATCATGCACTGTATTAGTTAAGTAGAAAAAAAAAAATGAGCCTCATAGTGCTATTAAATTAAAAAAAGAAAACTTTGCATTATGAAAAGAAAAAAAGCTGGCAACATTTGTTAACAGCTTAAATAAAATTTAAATGATCAAGATTCAAACTACAAAAGCTACTGATACATGAGTAGGTTCTCACACAGGTTCAGAAACATACCCGCCTCCTACAGAACCTATGAGGTGATCCTCCCTTAGCAATGACGTTTATACAAAAAAATAAAAAGAGAAAATCATCCCAAAACTTTAACTATTCATTGTTCCATACAACATATTTAATAAAACAAATTTATAGTAATTAAAAGTGATGCATTCACATACTGAACAACCACATTATCTACGTTAATCTGTAGAAATATGGAATCTGCATTTCTTAACCCCAAGGACATTGGCCAGTGATAAAAATCATCTCAGAAAATAAATATATTAATATACTAAAGAATTATTTTTAATATAACATCAATAAAATTTTTTCTAGAAAATTATCTATTTTCTTTTACATACTATAACTTTAATGTAAAATCAGAAATGATTTCATCATTCAATGGATATTTCCAAATAGATTATTTCTAATATAATATTGGAAGACAAAACAAAAATATTTATAGAATTATTCCAAATTAAAAGTAATTATTCATAAATGAATTACTCTGATACCTTAAATATATTTTGGATTGAAATTACAGTATTATAGATACATGACCAAAACTAGTTTATAAAAATAAGTTTATAAAATAAACTTATTATAAAATTATAAAAATAAGTTATAAGTACATGGAAGCATGATAATAAAATCATATTAACAGTGTAAGAATAAAGAATGTTGAGTGACTCTTACCCTCTGTTCCAATGCTGACTGAGTCTGTTGTCTTAATAGAGCTTTAAAGGGCCCCCCTTCTTTTCCAGCACTACCACTTCCCATTCCTACAGAACATCAGTACATAAATAACAACCAAAAAACAACTAGAGAAACAGACAGTTTAATTGCATTCATCTTCATAAATATCATGAGTCAAAATCTGTTAAAAAGAAAGTATAAAGTATAAAGAAAGCTTAAAGTATTTGTGATGGCAACTAAGCACATATTTTACTTTTTTTATTCACAAAGTTTTCTTTAGAAGCAAGATGCCAAAGTCCTACTGATCACAGCAAGCTTTGGACTTAATTTGTTCTAAAAATCATTTATAAAATTATATTAAGGTGATAAATTTTTATATAATATTCAATTTTAAAAGTTGAATCTTCTAATAAAAAATAATCAATATAATACCAATTATTTATACCATGCTAACAATTTAAGAGTACTAAAAGAAATAAGAGAAAATTAAATGTTTGTTTAAAAGTAAATATATATAGAGAAAAAGCACTAATTGGGCTTATCTAAAATATTCTAAAATTCTCTAAAGAGCATGAATAATTTCAGGCAATTCTGAAATATAGTCACATCTATTTTCTGATAATTTCCCATTCCTAAACATAACATTCATGACAAAACAGCATTAATAGTCGTATCATAGTTTTCAACACTCGTTTGCAAAAATTAACGTAAAGAGTTTTTTTAAAAAACCAGAGGCATATAATAGACACCTCACAAATGTACACAGTCATGGATGAAAGAATTACATTTCCCAAGCTCTTAGATGTATTTTTTTAAAGGCTTAATTTTAAATTTCTTTCCCTATCTTAGTTTATTCTTTTGATAATACTAATAGACCAATTATGGTCAAAGAATTATAGAAAGCAGGGGACAGGTGAGAAGCCAGTACTCTACAAACTAGAGTTTATAGTTTAGTCCCACCTTTTAAAACTGAAGATACATGCAGGCAGATTTACTATGTACGATGACTTAAAAAAGGAACTAATTTACTTTTACATTTTTAGCTGTTCTTGGATAAGGAAACAAAAGTTAGCATGTGTATAGTCCCATTCTGTTCTTTAAAAATAAAAAAGAAATGTATTTTTCTTGTAGTAACCTAAATGTAATTTTTAGAGACTATACAATACTAAACACAGAAATGAAACTAAGATTTTTATATGAAGCATATTGAAAACCATAAAATAAAACGTAATTTTGTAGAGATAAATGAAATATCAGAAAATAGAGCAGAATAACTTGAAAATTAATGCAATGGACAGAAAAAAAATGGATAATGAAAGAATATCACCAAAATGAGACTTAAACTGATTCAAACAGAATAATTTACTAATGTAACTATATGGTTTAGCAACATGATGGTATAGGTCCAACATGAATGGAGTTGGTGTGAAGGGAAAGAAAGTAAAGCATCTAAAACAGAAACTCTGGTAATGAGAATCTAAAAATTATTGGAAATATGCAGATCTACGTGTCCTTAGACATATAATTTTTAATACATAAAATTCTTTTAGCAGAATATTCATAATTATCCATCAAGTAATCCTCAATCATGTCCTCATAATAATTCTAACCATTAAACTGTCTGCCAATAAGAAAAATAAGAGTACATGCTGTGTAAAATACCCAATACTTCTATATGTTATGAAATAATTAATTTTTTTCAAAGATGATTTAAAATAAAGGGATTAAAAAGCTGACATAATATGATCCTACCAGAAGCAGCCAGGAACAGCTCTTCACTGAAAGAAACACTTTTCCTCAGAACTGGGCTGACAAGGCTAGAAGGATGAGGGGGAAGGCTAGATTCCGAGAGGAGAAGACAGGACTTTTTAAGATGAAGGGAACCACAAGAGAGAGAGGGGGAGCTGGGACACAGGTAAATCCTAGCCCCCTGTGGGTAAGGTGCTGTGGAGGAAAGTAGCAGAGAAAAGTTGCAGATTCAGAAGATGACCAGAAAATGCAGGATAAGGAAAGCAATGATGAAGCAAAACATAACAGTAGAAATGAACTGTAAAATGCATACACAAATCAAGTAAGCATATGAAGTCATCAGCAAGATCATCTATTCAACATAATATAAATAAAAGGCAGAGTCTAAAATTCAACAAAACCTTTACAAACTCTGCACTCATTAAAAATTTTTAAATCACTAGCATAGGATTTTATGCCATTCTAATTACTTTTAGCTGACTTTCCTGCCATTTTTTGCTTAAGGCTGTGTAAAGCTAAAATGTACCACATTTTTTAAAGCCAGAAATTTGTTGTCTCAAATATAAAAACTTATTCAAAGTGGTAAAAGTATAGTTCTTCAAATGTTATTAACTAAAACATACCACTTATGAGTATTTTAATTGAACACCCATTCAAAAAAAATCAACACTTGCTACCACATTAGGCAGATAGTCGCCATTAAGTTTAAATAAATAATATATTAACTTCTTTCTGTCCATCTTTGAGATGTACATTAATGATTTTCTTTTTCCTCTAAAATTTTAAATACGCAAATCCTATCACAGTACTGTTTATATTTACAAAGATTTGAGTACCTAAGAGCCAAAGAAATACCCTCTGGATCACAAAAAACATACATGGCAAAAAGCCTGACCAAAAAAAGTAAAAACTGGCTTGAGTCAGGTGTCACATCAATATCCTAACACTAGAATTCTAAAATTCCACTCCTACTCGTTGAATACTTGAAAAAAAAATGAAAATAAAACCTTGTAAAATGTCAAAAATTAGACTCTATAAAAATATTTAAATCAATATGAAATTTTTTAAAAACCCATCTGAAGACCCATCTGAAGGTGGGTGATAGCTTTAACTACAAACAGAAAAACAACTTTCTCAGTCTAAGTTTTATTAACTTTATTCTATTTTTTTGGCTCTCCAATTTACCTATAATAAATCAATCATAAACAACTAATCTATCATGAAATACATGCTGAACTACAGCTCTAGGAACTTTAGAACATTCATAATTTTGCCACTTTAAATCTCCATGAGAAATAGCAATGCTCCTCAGGAGTATTTGAAGATATTTTTGGGACCCATGATAAGGCCAAACAACTAAAAATTGTTAATATCCTATAAATATGCGATTGAGGTATTGAATAGTTATAGTAAAACAAAATGATTAATTTAGCGACAGCTTATAAATGTAGAAATACATGAGAATAATAGCTCTTTTGTAAGTTAATTTTTAAAAACTAAAAATTTGGAGCTAGAAAATAAAATGCAAAGAAGTTTTCATTGATAGTACAATTGATTGCCTACTAGAAAGCTAAGGGAAGAGAAGTCTCTTTCAGTTAATTTATTACTTCACAATCTTCTTTAGACTTGGCTTTTCTGGTGAATGAAAAAAAAGAAACAGAAAGACCAAGGAAATACTTTCAAAAATGTGTCTGTAGTATGGCAAAAAAAAGGAAGGTAAGAAATACTGAAAAGTGACCTGGAATACACAAATAAACAACCAGTGGACAAAGCCTCAAAAATATGTTTAAGAAAACTTACTCTTCAAATGCTATCCTAGGTCTTTATTGTTTTCATTGTTATGAATTTCAAGGCCAGAACCTCAGCCTTTATTTAAAAACAAAACAAAACAAAAAACCCACTTCACTACAATTTCAATGGTTCAGTTTTTATGACACAAATATGGTGAAGATGCCATATTCCAAAGCATCCATTACTATCAAATATCACATTATTTTAAGTTGTTATTTATAATTATACATGTAAAAATAAAGCAGTTATTTTCAAAGAATTAGGTGTTAATAATTATCTTCTTTACATTTTGTGACTACATTTATAAAAATAGATATTATGTCTATAGGATTTTTAAAAATGCCCTTTCTTTACTTTGGAAGTAGTGCTGGTTCTTTTCATTGTTTTCGTAAAATCTGGGGTCATTTTCTAAATCTCTTGTCTAACACAAAAATAAAGTTATTAAAGATGATAAATTAAAAATAATGCAAATAAACTAGGCAAAATGTTTTCATCAATCTGGCAAGGAAACTCCCAGACAAAAATGCTATTTGCAAAAATTGCAAACTATTAACTTTTAAATGTTTTATTTATTTTTTATTTTTCTTAAGAAGAATAATTCAATGACTTAAATAAGCTAATTCTATTTTAAGGAGTAAGAAACTAATTTGATTTTTTTAATCAGTTTTTATCATAAAACATATTCACAAAAACTCAGAGATTAACAAAATACAAATAGGAGAGGGAAAAATTATAAATTTCATACCCTGGCAAATATGCAAGAATAAGTAAAGCAAAAATGCTATTTTCTAACCTAGAGAGTAAGACTAGCAAAACCAAATATTTTAAATAATAAGCTAGTAAATAGATACATGTACTCCAAAATAACCAAATCAGTTGTAAGATTTTTTCTTAATAAAATCTTAGAATTAAATACCAAAATAGAAACAATGAATTCAAAAATGCTTATACTGCATGAGGAATTGGATTGCAAGCTACTAGTGTTACTTTCTATCCAAATGCTTTACGATGTTATTCCTCTTAATTTGAGCATGAAATGGAAAATGACTACATGCAAAAATAAATTCTGGCCTTCTTATCTACGCTATGATTAAATCAACAAAATGTCGCTCTCTGAACAAGATAACTTCTGAACTACACAAAATTTTCACATTTTAATTGTAGTAACTGAAAATGATCAGTATTCACATTATCTTTTAACTTAAATGCCAAAAACAGGAAGAAAGGCTTGGATGGAAAGCTAATAAGGAACATAAACATATTTGGAAAAAAAAGAGAAAAAGTGAGTGGAAGTGCCTTACCAGTTTTGGGTGTCAAACTCAAATCTGTATCAGAAGAAGAGGACTGTCGACTGTAGGACTTGGAAGGTGAAAAGGAATAAGTTTGGTTTTTCAGAGGGGTTGAGGGTCCTGATGAGTGAGTATTGGGATTGGGATCTTCATTGAAGGGAATCCTGCCAGAAGAAGGTGGAGAAATATTAAGTAATCATGTGCCAAAGGACTTGACGGAGGCAGCATGATCTAAACACCAGGGAAGTATTGGGGCAGGGCCAGCAGTCATTTCTTAAGTGTGGAGCTGGGTATGAGGCCAAAGACATCCAATTGCTGTTTAACCATTCATCATTCTCCAGATAAGTAATTATCTGCCTTGAAACAGTTAATAAGCCAAGTAAAAAAGCAAAACAGCATGAAATGGCAGACTAAGGGGGTAAAAAAACATTAAAAGAAGAAATAAACAAAAAGAATAAATACATGAATAAAAATATTTTCAAACAAACAATGCTTTTTTAAGTTACGAAAGAAAAAATGATGACTGCAAATGGTGTGTGTAAATATTCACAATATTTTTTATATTTGCACACACAGATATCTTGAAAAGAAAAACATGTTTCCTTATCCTATAGCATCAAGAGTGCCACAGCTAAAAACACAGCAGAGTGGAAAATGAATATAGGCTACACAGAAACATTGCATTTTATGCAGAAGAGTCGCTTACCTGTTTTCCAACAGCTCTCTTCCACAGAATGAAACAGACCCTACTGTTACAAGTTTTGTATATAAAGAAAATAAGCAAATCAGCAGCTTTGGCAGCTATGTCACTTAGAGTCCAATCATCAATTTTATTTCTAACCAAATGCAGAAATAATGGCAAAAATACATACTGGAGGATTCTCCTAAAAACTCACAGTATACATATACAAGATAGGGTTCTTAGAGGATCTATGGAAGAGACTTTGGAAGCTGGAAGAACACTTTCACTTCCATGTAGTTAGAGCCCCTGCGGCGGCTAAATACAGGATTTCTTCAGTGCCACTGGACTACGAGTGAGAAAAGGAGGAAGCAAAGACTTGTGGTACCTGCCTACGCTACCTGCCTGCCTGCCCTCTGCAGCCACTCTGCCCGTGGCCTGCTTCCCCAGCTCTGGAGTCTGAGCAGTCTCGTACCAGTATAGATGAGAGTGGGAACAGACACAGAGAAGTTCTGAGTAAGTCGTGAGCCAGTAGCAGTATGAATTGGGCTGTTGTGAGTCGAGCGGCATCCATGGCTTGGAGGATGAACCAGCGGAGACCTGAGGGAATTTGTGGTCAAAGTGGAAGAAAAGAAAACAATACATACAAGAGATAGCAAAGTTATGTTAAAATAATTTCAAAGGAGCTTGTAGTTAGGGGACAGGAATTATTTTTTAATCCCTAGCATGCACAAAACAAGTTGAGATAAAAAAGAAGAGCTAAATATTAATTTGTTAAGAAATAGTTACAAAGAATCAGATTAATAAATTAGGAATGTGAATAAGAAAAATAGCAAGCAGAACTGCCAGTGGAATTAAATAAGAAAAAGATTAAAATTTGGATTTTCAGTTACTTTAAAATGTTTGCTATTATTTTGATCACCACAGAGCTTACTAAACAATATTTCAGGAAGAAAACACACATAAAAATGAAAAGCCAAATATGATGTTCTTACACTACTTTGAAACTGAGATATGAATAACTGCTGATATATTTTTCTACAAAGGAAGTTTAACTAACAGAACTGTTTCTGTCTAGCATATCAAGACAGAGTTATATAAGAATATGAAAATGACAGCATAAAGAGAAATGAGTGAATTGAATTAATATAAATAGATCCAATTATTCCATATTTCAGCACCCCAAGTATATAGCTTAAAACCAGGTTACACTAGGAACAAAACAAAGCAAAGGGACACCGCTTTAAAAAAAAAAACATTAATTAAGCAATATAATGACTTTTGTGTAGCTTTCAAACAGAATAGCTTATTAAACTTAAACAGAATTTAGTTAAACTACATTCTAAATTGAAATTGTGTAAGATATCAACTAACATCCTGCAATAGATCACATCTATGCACATGTAAAGGATACTTAGACCAGATACACTTAGACCAGAAACATACATCTATGGCACTTAAATTTTCACAAAGAAATTTAGCTGAAAGAGCATAGTTATAGTGGATGGGGGAAAAAAGGTATATTATATAATTAAGAATCCTAGACTTCATATTAGCAACTATTTCATTGTGCAATGCCTTCCCTTATGCACAATGAGGGGAAATGAATTAAGTCACTACACTCTGAAAAACTACCATACTCCCATTTTTTAGAATTCAAATTAAAAGTAATCGAGAGCCCAACTTTTCCTGGCCTTTTTTCCTTTTCCGCTGTCCTGTGAACATTCCCAATAATCACAATTTATCAAGATCCAAACATGAGTTTTCGTTAACTGGCAATAATGGTCTTTTAAAGACCATCTACTTTCTGAAAATATCACTGCTTTTACTATAGGACAAATGTTTCTGCTTTTGTTGCTAATTTAATTTTTTAAAGTGTTTAACTGGTAAAAATCAAATATCTCACTGGTGACTAATTTCTACACAAGCAACTGGGTGAGGTTTTATTTTTGTTTTTTCTTTCTCTGTTGAAGTAAGTGGCTAGTGGAGTTAAAAAGTCTAAGAATCGGTGCCGTACAGAGGAGAAACTATGACTAATGTCTCCTAGAAAGTACTTTTCTTTTAAATGAGAGAATCAATAAACCATATTTAAATGCACTTTCTACCATCAAGATAGTTCAGCTAGGAAACACCAAAGAGCTTTATACTCCATAATACACTAAATATCTAAAAGGAAAACACAAACTGATGGAGCAGAACACACCATTAATAAAAGTAAAATAAAATGAACATCATGAAGTGTTCAAATTATGACATCAAATTAAAATCCAAGTACAATGGAGAGAGCATCACCATAATGTATTCTTTGAGTCCTAATTCTTATCAATCTCCTTGCATGAAAGGTTGCCTTACAAGAATACCCTAGTGGTATTTCTAACATTAAATCTATTCAGGCAGGAACATAATCCAAACTACCTTATCAAATCCCTGTCTAGAATCAACAATGTTAAAATTAAAAACCAAAATAATTATAATCAGGTGACTCATAAAACAATTTTAAACTAGTGCCCAAACTGATTCATTAACAAAAATACAAAGAAGCTGGTTGAAATAAAGCAGCCTGAGGTTTTTTGTTTTTTTAAATAACATGACTTATGCAGTAATATGCCATTAGGAAATCTTAATGAAGCCACTTAAATTCTTCATGGAGTGAATAGCTGACAATTTAAGGCAAATGGCTACAACAAAATTAGAAAAAGAAAACTTAGACAAGCTCAGATTTACATTAATGTTCGCCTTCCTGAATGAAGGCGAAATGTATTCCCCTACCATCCATATGTCACTTTAAGGCACCAACAGGTACTGCAGCTTTCTTTCCACTAAGTAATTCAGTGAAAAGAGGAAAACTTCAGACATCACAATTGCAAAGGCCAGGCCCCTTCAGGCAGTACAGATAAAGCTGGAGGGTGGCAGAAGGAAGAGGGACCCAGCTCTTTACTTAAATTTGCTACGGAAAGAGAAAAAAACCCTAAATCCCTCAAAAAGTTATACCTGCAATCTGACTTTACCTGTAGCAGAAGGCAGTTCATATCTTTTTTAAGACAGATTTTAAATGGAAGATAAAGCAAATTCACTCAATAAATCATTTAAAACATTTCACTTATCAATATATTTCCAAATAAAATTAGAAAATATATGTAATACTGTGCTCCCTCTTGTGACTAAAATTTAACCCAAATAACTAAAGGCCAGCAGAAAGGAACAATTAAACAAAAAGAAAAAGTTGATAAAGAATCTCACTTTTACATAGACTGTTTGAAAAAAAAAATTGTGATTGCTTTCTAGGCAACCTCTCTTGACTACTGCTGAACTGGGAAACATTTTGGGTTTTCTGACTACAGAAGAACTCTGACCTCCTGATGATAAAAGACAGAGGTCGGCACACTATATACAGTACAGGCCAAAATCCATCCTGCCATCTGATTCGAAAATAATTAAGTTTTATTGGAACAAAGACACACTCATTTATTTGCATACTATTGACGGCTGCTTCCATGCAACATCTGCAGAGTTGAGTCCTTGCTATTTCCATTCCGGTAATTTACCAAAGAAGTTTGTTGACCCTTGATCTAGAAGAATCTCTAGAGCAATGGTTCTCAATGGAAGTACCATTGGCATTTAGTATGGAACAAGTCTTTGTTGTACAGAGTTGTCCCTAGCTGTGTGGGACAGTCAGCATTTCTGGTCCCCAATAGAATCATCCTGCTCACCCCAAGCATTACGACAGAAAATTTTCATTTCAAGCATTCTTTGTTGATAGCACCACCAACACCATGTTGAGAATCTCTGCCTTAGGCACAAACGATGACACATTAGCCAAATGGAGCCAAAAGAAATGTTCTGTTGGATCACAAATACTTTTTTAAAAAAATGTAAGAGTTTAAATTCCTTTAGATCAAGATTGGCAAACTCCTTTTTTTTTTTTTGGGTAAACAAACATAAAAACTATATGGCCAGTGCTTGAAATATTAACTATCTGGCCTTTTACAGAAAAAGTCTGCCAACATCTGCTTTATGCAGTCCCCAGTATTCTCCATTATACCCAATTATTTTATTTATATAAACTACTTGGCCTCTGTAGACACTGGAGTTTGAGACCCCTGCACAGGTCAATCTTTCCTGCTTTCTATACTATGTTGCTAATGATAGGCATAATTGGATTATCAGATATAGGGTATTAAGCATTCCCCAGACAACAAGTAAAATTCTTCAGAATGCATAAGCTTTAGATATACAGTGTCTAAAGATGTGGAACAAGTTTAATTTTATATTACTTAATTTGAATTTCATGACAGTATAAATAAAATATTAGGAATATCTAAATAGTTTTAAGCTTCAAATTTTGATAGTCATCTCTGATAAGAAAACTGCTGCAGGAAAAAATGTATGTTGAACAACTCTACTAAAATGTTTCAAATCAGGGCTTCCCTGGTGGCACAGTGGTTGAGAGTCCGCCTGCCGATGCAGGGGACACAGGTTCGTGCCCTGGTCTGGGAAGATCCCACATGCCGCAGAGCGGCTGGGCCCATAAGCCATGGCCGCTGAGCCTGCGCGTCCGGAGCCTGTGCTCCACAGCGGGAGAGGCCACAACAGTGAGAGGCCCGCGTACCACAAAAAAAAAAAAAAAAAAAAAATTTTTCAAATCAAATGAAAATATGTAGACAAAAGATAAAAAGCTCCATAAGAACAATTCATCGATTCATACTTACTCCTTCATTTCTTTGGACGGGGAATTACATGCAGGAAGGAATGCTGCTGGGCTACTTAATTTATCCAGTGTACACGCTGTTCCTATGGCTCGTACCACTAACCCAGATTCGCCTTCCAGATCAAAGCACTGTAAGTACCCAACAACTGCATTTCCTCTCATTTCAAGTACTTTCAAGCCAATCTTCCTCTGCAGTTCACCTACGAAAAAAGGAAGAAAACACAGTCGGCCTCTTATCTGCATGTTGCATAATACAAAGCTGGACATGGTGGTAATAGGAAAGAGTCCAGAAAATCATAGATTATTTAATATATTAAGTGTAACATTATGTTAAATATAACATTTGTATGTATTTATAAATATTAAATATAATTAACATGTTAATATAAGTATAAATATATTTCTATTTTCTATTTAAATACATAAATTTATTATAAACATTTGTACTTATTAAATATAACGTATTTATTATCTGATATATCTGTGTGAGTGTGTGTGTGTGTATGTATGTATGCGTGAGTGTATATATACACTCACACATATGTACATAATAAATACAAACTTTAGATGGAAATAAGTTCTTCAAAGGAAAATAAAGAAAAGTAATGGGGTAAGAGTGGCGGGGGAGTAGGGGTAAAAGGAGGTACAAGTTGTCAGAAAAGGACTATGAAAAGGCAACATTTAAACAAAACACCTTAGAGAGATTACCTAAGCTCTGACAACAAATAAACACTCCAAGGAGGAAAACTAGAACTCAGTTTCCTACTCCTTGTTCAGGGCATTTTCTACCATGCCACTTCATAAGCCCAATTTCCTTTTACTACCTAGTTAAGAAGTAACTATAAGCTTCTGATTCAGATTTTGTCTTGTTATAAGATGGCAATGCACATGTGTTCAGGAGGACGGGGCCAGGGATAGGGAATCAGTCAGTTAACAATTCATAGTCTTCATTGTAAAGTTTTAGTAGCATGTCAAAAGGAAGTGAAGAATTTTGGAGGATTAAGTCAATCAGCCATGAAGTTTTTTTTTTTTTTTTTTTTAAATACCTGACATTAAAGAAATGAGTCTCTGTCTGGCCTCGTTTGATGCCCTTGGTGTGCGAATTCGATCAATCCATTGATATTCTGGGTCTTCGTTGACCACAAGTTCTTCTACAAATCCATGAATTATTACAGCTCTATAGCACTTTGGAATAGATGTCGCTGTTAAAAAAAATTATCTATTATGCTTCTCTTTATCACAAGGCTAAATTTAACTTTTTAAAAATGTACAACTAAGTTCTTACCTTTTGGATACATAGTACAAGAACATCTTTTACTGTGATAACCTCAATGCAATCATAATAATACTTTCAATCAAACAGTCTTCTAAGTTCCATTTTATTCTTAGAAATAATCATTTTCCTTCATGAGGCCTCTTGCCTTTCTCAAGTAAGCACAGTAAGATATAAACTGTATTTTTATAATTTAGAAAATAGCTACAGACCATCTTAAATAGCGTTCAATACGAAGTGTAAAAAAGTCAAAATTAAAGTGAGCTAGCTGATATTATATAAAAAATCAGAAAGCAGATAATGAATACCAAAACACTCTAATCATTGGAAGCCCTTTGAAAAAGTTCTGCACACCACATACTGCAGCCTTAAAAATCAAGCCATTACCTTTCTGACATAATCTGAGAAGTCATACAGGCCTGTAGTTTCTAATAATCCATGGTTATAAGGCCAATTGGTTCAGTAGTCACTATACTACTTAATAGACTCATTCAATACATAGAACAACAAACGTCACAGGATTTATTAAAAAGGGGAGAATGTGAGAACATCTATACCAAACTATATGCATGCCTTGAAACTAACTCCACTACATAGGAGTTTTCAACCCTATTAGTCCAGGCTGGCTATGAATTGCCCAGATCTGTTTAATTGTGACCCATATTTCATGGCATCCGCAGGGCTCCATACCTGTAGATGCTTATGTCACTATGGATAGTACCACAGTGCCGCCTCTAGTGCTCCACTCCTATCTTTCAGCATCCTATACCAGCATAAAATGCCACTGGCTTTTTCTTTTTTTGACAGTTATTCAAAGCTTAATTATAGTCAGATCTTTTACACATTTGACAAAAGTAATTTGTTCTAACTTTTGAAAGAACTGTAATGGGCAATAAAATATTAACCTTTATAAAGTAAGACAAATACGTGAAAATTATTTTAACCTTTGTTGACCTACTGGTACAAGAGTAAAATCTACGTTAGATGATTAGCTTGCAATCTTCTCTATAAATTAGTGTCCAGTAATTATGCTTTTTAAATAATTCTGCTTTTTAAAGCCATTTGAGACTTCTGCAAGATATACACGTCCATCCACCACAAATGGCTCCACGTCTGTATGGCCTGGTTTTGAAGAGCCCATTTGAATTAAGTCTGAATATGCCACACGTGTAGCCTCATCAAATTTGTTTCCCAAATGTAGACATTAATGGGATTTGTTTTCATTGGCTGAGAAAGTGTGACAAGTCCTCTCCCCCTATGTTGTCGCTAACCTCTGACAACCCGCTGACATCAAAGTAGCATAGGCTACTGTTCAGATACAGTGTATCATCTGTTTCATATCACAATGTTTTATATTATGCAGACACATACCTAGTTTAACAATGCAGTGATTTTCTTTCAACATGTGGCCTAAATGAATTGTGGACTCTTTCTGTATAGGTCTGTTTGGGTTTATTCCCTTAATTGTTGGGTTTTGAGTTAGGACTGTAGCAAATGCACAGTTCACCTACAAATGCACACTTTGCATTCCCATATCTGATTTCTCTAAGGATGAATTAAATTGTTGCATTGCAGGAAAAAACATTCCACCTTTATTTTCAATCTTGTTTCCAGTCATTCTTAAGTATTTCAGAGCTGTAATCTTATGTAGTGCTTTAACAATTAATTCTCCACCTCAGACTCAATATCACTAAACATAAGGTTTATGTAAATATTGTCTCATTAATATATGGATTCTTCTTTAAAAATTCTGAAAAAGATCCAAAAATCTTCACCTGTTACCCTTTCTACTGGAGTTAAGTGACTGTAACCAGCAATGATTAATGTGATTCCTTCTAATCACACTCTTGTGGGCAGAGGCTGGCACAGAGACTAGAGAAGGGAGGATGTGGGGAACAGCCAGAGGCAGCCTCCCTGTGGGCCACAGTGTCACTGTCATGATGATCGCATGCACACACATGCCCCACTGGATTTTTCTAAAAAAACTTTCTATGAACTTGTGAAAAATTAGATATCATTTACTTTAAAATCAGATAAACAGTTCCCAGAGCTACAGTAATTACTTCTGAAAAATTCACAATTTTCTCTCTGGCATTAAGACCAAGGTATAATACGTTTTCCATTAGACTTCTGAAACATTAATTTGATTTCTCATATTTAACAATTATTAAATTTCCTGTCAAATGAGTAATAAAATATATTTACTTACTGCAAAAGAATTTGATTCCACATGACGACTGCCTAAATCGATTTAAATCATTGAAGAGGTCTACTTTGACAACTACATTGATTTCCCCACGGATACCTACAATTTCAAAAGGAAAAACAAGTTTCTACCTTAAGAAAATAAAGTATAATTAAATAATCAGGCAAATAATGATTTAAAAATAATGTATCAATCATAACAGCAATGCTAACTTTGTTTCCTAATTATTTTCATTCTATAGATGCTCTAATTTATTTAAGTAAATCCTGTTCTCCAATTTATTTTACCATTTTAAACATCAATGAATAATATAGAATATGAATGTTACAATACACATAAATCTCATCAAACATCTTATCTTCTTATAATAAACTACTATCAATGTAATTGCCAGATCAAAAATGTAAAATAGACAGAAAAATGCAAGACTGTAGGCAGAAGCATCTGCCAGTTCCTTATGCCCATAATGGTCCCTCTGCCATTTTAAAGAGATGACATATTTTTAGGCTAGTGGTTCTCAGACTTTTTGATTGCAGGACCCTTCTACAATCTCAAAAATTACTGAAGATCTCAAAGAATCTTTGTCTATGCGGGTCAAAACCTTCAATATTTACCATATTATAAATTTAAATTGAGAATTTAAACAAATATTTACTTATTACTTCATTTAAAGTAGCAGTAAATCGATTTATGTCAAAATAAACACTTTTATAAAAATAACTATTTTGAAAAACAAAAGAAATTTTAGTGATAAGAGTGGCATTACATTACATTTTTGCCAATCTCTATAGTGTGTAGCTTAATGAAATAGTTAGATTCTAATTTCTGCTCTACATTCAATGTGTGGTAACATCATACGTCATAAAACCTCTGAAAACTCCATTGTACAACTTGTAAGAAAGTGAGACTAAAAATGGCAAATGTCATGTAAGTATTATCCTGAAAACAGTTCTCATCTCACTTCACAGAGCCTGTGAAAGTATCTCATGGACCCACAGATGTCCCAAGACCATACTTTGAGAACTTTGCTTTAGGCAACAAAAAGCCTTTGAAGAATTTTTTTCCTTTCAAGAATTTTTAAGTAGAAAAGTTTCAAGATTATTCATTTTAAAATGTGTTTTAGAAACAGAGTAGCAATATTAGATGATTTTCAAATGATACATCTGCTTACTATATTGTACAAATTTAGCAGGTATTATTTCAAATTATGGTCAGAAAAGTTACAATTCTACCAACAATACAGACTACCACATGTCTATTAAAAGAGAAGACATCTTTTGAAGATATGTATTTTAAAAATACCAGGCACAACACAAAAGTCTTTAAGGATAAATTAAAAGACTGTGACTTATTTTCTTAAAATGTATTGCTTACCATGAATGGTATCATAAATTGGAAACCATCCTGAGATGACTGTTGCAGCCTCACTGTAGAGTAAAGGATCAATGTCAATGTACACTTTACCAATGGCATCATTTGCACTATATGTATCATGGTCAAGAACTGTGATCTGGAGAGGTTCATCTTGTAAATCTTCATCATCCACCTAAAAAAGTATATCTTAAAAATTAAATCTTATAATTTAAAAATCTTCATTACCATAAATGTATACATATACCAAATGTAAAAGATTACTTATTTCCAGGAAAAGAAATCATATAGATTTATCTCTAAGCAAAGGTAGAGAGATTAGTCATTAGGGAAATGCAAATCAAAACCAATTAGATAACACCTCACATCTACATTCTTTGTATTAAACTGGTCATCAAGTCTGGTGAAGTCAACCTCCGAAACCTAAATACCTTCTTCAGGTGGTTTAAATATGAGACAGTTCAAAGTAAAAGAATGCAGATGGTCCTTAGCCATAGGAAATCAAACTCACCTCATTCATAATAAAAATACACATTAAAATTATACTGTGAATACCACTTCAGACCTACTAGGATGGCTTACATTTTAAAAATAAAATAAAATAAAATAACAAGTATTGACAAGGATATGGAAAAACCAAAACTCTCACACATGCTGGTAGGAATGTAAGATGACGCAACCACTGTGGAAAAGTTTGGCAGTTCCTTAAAAAGCTTAACACAGAAATTACCGCGTGACTCAGCCATTCCACTTCTAGGTATAGACCCAAAAGAACTGAAGACAGGGAGTCAAACAGATACTGGTACACCAAAATTCACTGCAGCATTATTCACCATAGCCAAAAGGCAGAAACAAACCCAAGTGTGCATCAACAGATAGAGGATAAACAAAATATGGCATATTCATACAATGGACTATTATTCAGCCATAAAAAGGAATGAAATTCTGATACATGCTACACTACATGGATGAACCTTGAAAACATTATGCTAAGTGAAAGACGCCATACACAAGAGGACAAATACTTATGATTCTACTTATATGAAATGCTTATATAGGCAAATTCAGAGTCAGAAAGTAGATTAGAGGTTACGAGGGGCTGGAGAGAGGAGGGCATGGGGAGTCATTGCTGAATGAGTATTTTCTCTTTGGAGTGATGAAAAAATTTTGGAAATAGTGGTGATGGTTGCACAACATTGTATGTATGTGAATGCAATTAATGCTACTGTATTGTACACTTAAAAATGGCTAAAATGGCGATATTTATGATACGTATTTTTATCACAATTCAAAAAGATGTTTAATCTGTACATTATTCTTAAGTGATTTTTGGTATATGCTAAAATCCAGAGAAAATTACTATATAATAATATAATACCTTTTTAATCTGGGTTCTCCTATTCATATATGATATTTTCTGAACTGTAACATAATTTTTTGAAAACTCAATATTCTTAGGAAATATTTTTATGGTGTAGGAAAACTACTATACCTGAAATAAAACGTAGTCCAATCATTCCTGCGAAAAAAGGGTCACCGCAAAAATGCTGACATTTAAAAACTTACCTCAAATTTAAACCATTCTGAGTTCCACTGAGGGTTGAGGGACTTGAGATACACATCTGTTTTAAAGGTGGTATTACCAAATTTTACCTAAAAACAAGTAAGAACAGTTCAAATAAAAATATTAAAAATGTGAATAAAATTAAAATTTAACATCAGCTAAACAACAGGAGGATTAACCATGAAGGGCATAAAAGACAACTATCCCCTGAGACAAAAGGCAAGAAAGTATGGATGGGTCCAGGCAAGTTTATAAACTACACCTGGAACAAGGGATCACCCACTGTTCTGCCTGACTAGCTCTACAGGGAAATTAAAATCAGACCATTATGTCAGTGTGGAGAAAGTAATCACATGGCCTTCACTAAACAGGAGCTCAGACAAAAGGGGAAAGTCTTAAGGGTGGAGGACCAGCAAAATACAATCAGAAGGTAGAAAGGACAACTGACTCTTACCATCTCATCAAGGGAATCCAGAACTACAGCCCATTATTATAAGAACTTAGTAACATATCCTCATATTTTCTCACTTCCTCAGTATTTGTTACTTTTTAAATCCTTACCTGTGCATACACAGTGATCAGCAATAAACTATGGTCATTAAGGGTTTTATGTTTCTATCTTCAGGGACAATAAAAGGGGTTGGAATGGGGAGACTACCCTGTTTCATAGTTAGTCTTGGCAGATACTAAATCAAAATGCAAAAGTAAATAAGAAGAAAAGGAAGAAGGCAGAAAGGAGGCTAAATCCCTGGGACTTGCTTCTAAGAAAGAATGGAGATTGTGAAACCTCAGGCTGGACTTGAGAAGCAGTCAGGAAGCTTAAGAGCAAAATAGTTAAGAAACTACTTCCTAGATTGTTTCACCTTTCCTAAACTTGATCTCTCTAAGCTCTTCCCTAATTCTATCAGTTATCACCATTAAGTATCTTTTCTAACCTCAAAATTCATTAAAGGTTTATCCCGATACCCAGTAAAGAGTTTTGCATGTTGTAGATACTTAGGAAATGCTGGTTTAATCAGATAATCTATGAAATCTCCTTTCCTTCTTGACCTACAACCCTACTATTGGTATTATAATACTTGTAGATATTAATGTTTAATCAGTCCAGAAAATGTTCTAAAAGCAAAATACCCAAACCTATAGTTATTATCTTCTGTACATTTTTCTAGTTATTTTATCATGCAATTTGAATTATCAAGGAATGATACCAACCATCTGGTACCTAGGCAGTTTGGTCAGAGGGTTGAAAAGGTTTAAGAAATTACATAAAAATAATGAGTTCTTGCATGGTAAGGAATATGATAAAGTCAAAGATAAATAAGAAAGTGAGAAAAAGGATTTGCCAAATATGTCACAAACAGCTAATTTCTTCAATTTCTAACAAGTCCCTACAAAGCAATAACAAAAAGATCAACAAACCAACCAAAAAAAGGAAATTCAAAGAAATGGAAATATAGATGTCTTTTAAGTGTATCAAGAGCTGAAAACCTCATTCATACTAAGAGAAATCAAACTAAACCGACATTTTTACTACTCAGGTTGGCAAAGATCAAAAAGTTTGAAAACACAGTGTGAATGAGGCACTCTCATACTCTGTTGCTGTGAATGCAAATTAGAACATCTTCACAAAGTGCAGTCTGACAACACTTATCAAAATTTTAAATGCCTATACCCTTTAAATTCATACATAGGTGCACAATGACATATATAAGCAGCATTATAGTAGCAAAAGATTGGAAATAACCTAGAAGTCCATCAATCAGGAACTGGCTAAATTAAGAATGGGAAAGCCACACAATGCAGTGCTACACAGAAGACAGAAGCAGTTCTCCGTGCACTAGTATGGAACAATGTCCAAGATACATCCCTCTACTGCAGAGCAGTGTGTACGGCATTCTTTGTGGAGGAAAAAAAATGGCAAAATGTTATAAGGCATATGATATGTGCCTATATATGCACAGATTGTTTCTGGAAGGATATACAACAAATGTTAACAGTGGCCACTAAACGAAACAAGACAGATCGGTTAAAGGAAAGGCCATGAGAGGCTGACTCATTCTGTACATTTTGGATTTTGAGCCATGCACATATATTACCTATTTTTTAAATGGATTATTTAAAATTCAAAAACATCAAAAATTAAAATAAAATTCAAATGGCAAAAACTGTTTTGATTCAGTTATAAAATTCTGGATTCACTGCAGGGAATTTCTCCTGAAGTACTTTCACATATGGCCCCTTCCCAAAAGATATACAAAAACCTAGTGACAACAAGAAAATGACTAAATAAATCACATGCTCCCTACTAAAGAATGGAGTTGATTACATGTACTGTCAGGGGATGATGTCAATGGCATAATAACTGAAAAAACCAAGTAGTAGAATATAAAAAGTATGATTACATTTGTTTTTAAAAATATGATATGTAAAAGTTTTTGTTTTTGTTTTTAAAGCCAAGGAGAAGGAGTAGATGAATACATGCCAAAGAAGTGACAGCAATTATCTCTGAAGGGATTGATAAGGGTGTAGACAACACAGTATAGTGTTGTAAGTAAGAAGTAAGGGGCTTTCAAGTTTTACTTGAGTATTTGAATCTTTTCTAACAGGAGCTATTCATGTACCGTCATCCCTCAGTACCCACGGGTATTGGTTCCAGGACTCCTCCCACCCATCCCCCCACCCCACAGATACCCAAATCTGTGGATGCTCAAGTCCCTCATATAAAATGGCACAGTACCTGCACATAACCTATGCACAACCTCCCATACACTTTAAATCACCTCTTTAGTACCTAACACAATGTAAATGCTATGTAAATAGTTGTAAATACCATGTGAATACTATGTAAACAGCAATCACACACAACAAATTCCAGTTTTGCTTTTTGGAACTTTCTGGAATTTTTTTCCAAATATTTCCTACCTGCAGTTGGTTGAATCCGAGGAAGTGGAACCCAGGGATACGAAGGGCCAAATGTATTACTTGCACAATTTTTTTTTTTTTAACTTTTAAATCACAAATGTTAAAGAAATGAAACAAGGAAAAAGAAACCTGGGAAGAAATCTGCTCATACTTAAGAAATCTTACTTATCTAGCTTTCATTACATTTCAATATTCAAAATATCAAAGAAATACTTATTGTTTAATTTACCTAAAAACTGCTTTATTTGAAGTAAAATGTCGTTAGGATTCATAAAAGCATTCAAAACCATTCAAAAGCCAAATGTACTTAAGGAGTTTGGCTCAACTGCCAAAAACAGCATATCATTTCTTAAGCTATGATTTCAGAGCCCTCTTCAGTTTTGTCCCATTATAATGTAGTGCTATACTGTGATTTTTTTTTTTTTGGTAAACTGTCCATTCTAGAGATAGTAAAAATCTGATAGTCCCCACACTATACTAAACAAACAAGCAAAAGACAAGATTTTAGAAGAAGAAAAAGGCTAGAGTGTATGTTTTGCCAACATTGTGGTGATTCCCCTTCTACTAAAGAAGAATCAGAGTTCATTTGGCCTTATTTAATTCGAAGGAGATTTTATTACTCAGCAATTAAATGAATGTCTTACAATTTAGTTAAAGAACATCAGGGATTTTAACAAGATTCCCTAGTAAGGTAAACGCTTTCTCTTTCCCCACTCATTAGCTAAATTACCTTGAGAAAGTTATTTAACCTGTTATTTAAAGCTGCTTCCTCCTCTGAAAAGGGGAGTTGCTGTGAGCATTAAACAGGATAATGTATGTAGAGACTTAGCAAAATGTCTGGTAGAAAATGCTCATTAAATATTAATTTCCTTTCCTCTCCCTGTTCCCTCAAAGGCTCCTGGATAAACACAAAATGATAATGTAGTTTAGCGGAACAGTTTGTAACATGCACATTAATATTGGGATATATTTTGATTAATACTCCCCTGGTACAGAACCCATCCTGTTCATCCTGGAGATTCCCACAATAAACGTCCTTAAGTACTACTTGGTCTTCACTGGCTTCCTAAACTCCTCACATCATATATAGTAGAAATTCCCTCAACCCCAACGCAATCAGGACCAATATCTGATTAGTCAATCAAATAATCTGGTTAGATCAGATAATCATTAAAAATGATACAAACAATAAACATTTTCAAATAAAACATATAAATAAATATTCATTCCTCTATCTTTTATCGTAAGACTGAAGCCTCTTCTTTGAGTAAGGGTCCACCGTTGACAGTTCCGTGTCATCTTTTTTGCATAAACCAAAACATATCATCTGTGTTTGCCAGTCTCTCATAACATATCATCTGTGTTTGTCAGTCTGGGTTTCTTTAAAATGTGGTAAAACTTAAAATCACTGGTAAAATAACTATGGATAGAGAATCCTAGATTTTTTACAATCTTCATCTAATTCAAGAGCAATTTTTAGCAACTGTATCCATAATGCTTTTCACAGCATTATCAACTTCATTATCCCACTTATTTCACTGATTTGTATAAGATTTAAATAAATAACAATAACAAATAGTGTTGGCATAAATAGGTTAGGGAATAAACACAACTGCCTCTTGGTAAAGCATATCAGCCAACTGATGGGAGAAGCAGGCACACTGGAGTATAATCTAACGGTATGGGGTATTCAAGAATGTGTTTATGGCAGAAATGCAGAGCACTGGGCACTGTAATGAGGCAGTTAATAGAAACTGGTTAAGAGAGCATCTGCTGTACAGACTTCTCCCCATCGTTTTCAGACCACTTAGTAATCCGCATCCTCTCTACCCAGCCAAATTTTACTTCCCACTTCTATTTAACAAGAACCCTCCCTTCAATTACTTGTGCTATATTCCCTCCTTTTGCTTTTATCATTTATCCTCTTCATCCAAAAAATGCCCCCTTTTCCTCTCTGCCTATGGAAATGGCACCATCTTTCAAGCCCAGCACAAAGACAGAAATCTTTCATATCACATAATTTATCCCTTTACTTTTTATCCCTTTATTTTTTATTTTATCCCTTTATTTATCACATATTTATCCCTTTATCCCATATCACAAAATTTATCCCTTTATTATATTGTAATCCTTCATTATCCCCTTTTTCATGCATCAATCTTTCCCTTTCTGCTGGATTATTCCTATTAGCACACAAATATGTTCTAATATCTTCCACCTTATTTTTTTTTAAGTACTAAAAACTGCATACTCCCCCCCAAATAACACACTATTTCTTCTCTCCCTTCACAGCCATATTTCCTAAAACAATTGCCTATTCACGCCTCTCCTACTTCCTTACTCCCATGTACTTTAACCCTCTAAATCACTACAGTATGGGCTTCCGTCCTTGACACTCCTCAAGCCAGGACCCTTAACATCCTTATGTTGTCCAATCCAGTGATTTCTCTGTCCCCTTACTTGACCTCTCAGTGCCATTTGACAGTTGAGGATTTCCTCTTTCTAGAAACTTCCTCTCTTGCCTTCTGAGACATTACTTTCTGGATTTTTCTCCCACCCACTGGCTAACAATCTCAGTTTCCTTCCCCTAGTCCTCTACCTCGAATAAATTCTTAATGTCATGTTCATTCAAGGATCCATCCGTCTTCTCGCTCCCTCTTCTCTCCCCTAAGTCAATGGTTCGCAAAAGGGACAGAACCAACTTCTAAAGAAACTTTACAAATTTAGGGACGAATAATTTCTAAATTTCAAAATTTTCATTTTTGGGACAAATAATAATAGTATTTAGTAAGGAAGACCAGAGATGCTAGGTGTCCTGCAATTCAAGAGACAGTCCCCAACAATGAAGACTTGTCTCATGTCATGACTTTCAAATATCCACACCAGATAGCCACATGGGTGAAAAACCTACCTAGACCCTAACTCAGGTTTATAGATAGAATATTATGATGGGTTTTAATACACAGTAACTGTCAAGAAATGCAACCACTGTGAAAATTAATGGACAACTCTCTTTTTTTCCCATGAGCTGACTATAGTGTATTTTGGGAAATCATATAACCAATGGCAGTGAAGGCCCATCCGAGATGCCAAAACTACACAACTGTCTCACTCTGTGAGAGGAGCAGTCATGTTCACGTGATTTTACAGGGAGGTGAGGTACTTCCTATCCGGAATTCTGCTTTATTTTCTCCACATGGGGGGCTTCTCACCATCTAGCATACTTTATCTCTTACTTAACTATTTTTTTGAATAACTCCTTCCTCCACTAGAACCTAAGTTCCGTGACTACAGAAACTTTCATTTTGCTCTCTGCTCTATCCCCAGCATGCTGCACAACAGCCAGTATAGTATCTGATATATACAAAGGCTCAGTAAATATCATGGGCACAACCTGATTACTTCATGTCTTCCATGGTCATTAACAAGCACTTCCATATTGAAACACATTAAAAAATACTTTTACTTCTCTATCATATTACAGTTAGAGCATTATATTGATATTTTTAAACTGTGGGCATAGATAGGTTATATTAGCTATAGATATCATGCCAAGATAGTAAAGGGAAGATTTCAAAATACCTGCCATATAAAGGCAGGACCGGGTCTCACAAAGTTGAGAAGCACTGGCCTGTGTGCGCTTATTTTTAACTCATACCTCTCTTCGAAACACCACACTCACAAATCCAACTTTCTCCTTGACAACTCCAATTAAAGGAACCAAAGACATCTCAAATTTAACATGCCCAAATGGAAGTTGATTTTCAACCCACTCAATCTCTCTCAACTCTATGGAGAGTGAGAAAATTGCCCCAGTGACTCCAGAAAGCTAGGAATCACCTTTCAGTCTCCCTTTCCCTGATCCCTACTCCAGTCTACCAACAAATCCTCTACTGTCTATCTTCAAAGCATACACACACAAGCACACCCTGAGCAGCTAGCTCCTTCTCGTCCACAGGTCTCTGCCTAACTGGCACTTCCTCGGAGGGCTCCCCTGATAATTCAACCTAAAGTTCCTGAGATTCTCTATCGTTTTCTTTCATGGCACTCATCACAACTTGTAATTATAAATGTACTCTTGGGACTTCCCTGGTGGTGCAGTGATTAAGAATCTGCCTGCCAATGCAGGGGAAATAGGTTCGATCCCTGGTCCAGGAAGATCCCAGGTGTTGTGGAGCAACTAAGCCCGTGCGCCACAACTGCTGAGCCTGCGCTCTATAGAGCCCACAAGCCATAACTACTGATAGTGAAGCCTGCGCTCCCCAGAGCCCGTGCTCCGCAACAAGAGAAGCCACTGCAATGAGAAGACCATGCACCACGATGAAGAGTAGCCCCAGCTCGCCACAACTAGAGAAAGTCCGCGCACAACAACGAATACCCAACACAGCCAATAAATAAAAAATAAATAAATAAATGTACTCTTTCTTTACTTTTTAATGTCTGGCTCTCCCACCAAAATATACACTCCATAAAAACAGGAACCAAGTCTATTTTCTTCACCGTCACATATGCATCAGCTAGATCGGTGACTAGCATGGGGCTTGGCAAAGAGCAGACACTCAGTAACTATTTGTTGAAAGAAGGAATTAATGAGTCACCCTTTAATCCAACCCCTCCCTCACCAGCAAAAGCCATTTGTTACCAAGCCCTGAGAATTTTACCTAAGAAATGTCCCTCAAATCTTTCCCCTTTAATCCATTCCCATTGCCATTCTAAACTTGCACATATTGTCTGGGTAATTTTACCACCTTCTTAACTGATCTTGCCTCATCTCTCATTTATCCATTCCATCGATAACATCACCATTCAAGTCATCCTACAAAGAAACAACCTAATCCAAACATGATCTTACTTCATTTCTGCTTGAAGAACTTCCCCCATTTACCCTCTATTTACAAAAAACACAGAAAAGGGCGCTGGTGCCAACCTACATTCCCAGCCTTATCCCTCACAACCTCCACTACGCACACATCCACTTTGACTCCAGACACATCCCAAACTAAGATGGTTTCCTAACACACCATGTATGCCACTCTGTGCCTCTGATGTTCCCTCTGCCTGGTAAAATCCTGGGTACCCTACAAGGCCCAGTTCAAATGTCACTTTTTTTAGGAAGCCTCCCTAAACCTTCAGAGACAGAATTAAGTTTCCACAGTCTACAGAAACACTCATCATCTTGTCTGGAGAGGCAGTATTTGCACCGTGTATTAACAAACCACTAGGCTTTGGAGATTTACAAGGTTAAGGCACCTCGGGCAAATTATTTACTGTTCCTAGGGTTTTTTTTAAGTTATAAAATATTTTTAATTGTAAAAACAGTCAATAGAGGTTGACGATGCAAATGTTATCTCAGAACATTTTCCCTTGTTTCCTGAATTTGCTAGGCTCCTATGTACCAGCAAGTCCCCATAGCAGTTCTCAGGTTTCATGGTTCCTTTCAGATATGTTTTAATTGATTACATGTATATATTGCTTGGAAACAAAAGTCCATGTGATATTAAAACAAACAAACAAAAAACTTGTGTCTTTCAGGTACTTCAATTACAATATGGGAAAATAATACAAGAGCAGGACTGTTATAAGGACTAAGAATTGAAAAACACTTAGCACAGACCTGGCAATAATGAGATTCAATACGTATTAGCTATTATTTATTAACCTAAACTGTGTGGGTCAGTCTCTGAGATACCGGAAAGCAAAGACTAGGCTTTGGCAATCTGTGTATCCCCATTACCTATCATCTGGCCCAATAACACACCCAGTAACTGTTTCTCACATAAAAATGAAGTTGAGCTTGAGTATTGCCATGGCAATGTCTGATTAGGTCAGAGAATCTTTAGGGAACATCAACAATATTTTATATTGATATGGAATCAGGCTGTATATTATCATGCATCTATCAACTCCAAACATTAATAGCCCAAATGATTATCGTTCTAATGCTCTGGCTCATGACAATTTTTTTTTTTAAAACATCATCTCCATCACTCTAGCATTAAAAGCTAACTACCCTCCCCCCGCCAACGAAGGGTGTGTGTGTGTGTGTGTGTGTGTGTGTGTGTGTGTGTGTGTGTGTGTGTGTGTGTGTGTGTGTGTGTGTGTGTGTGTGTGTGTGTTTCAGTGGCCGCGTGGTCACACCTTGGGATGTCCTGACTGGCAGGTGGCCTGTTAGGAGTCCTGACATCAGGGTCACCCTGCAGGCAGAGCAGTAAGTGCTCCTATCACATGGGCTGCAGTCTCGGCAGTCAGCCCCCCAGGGAGGGCTGTACAAGCACTGCACCCAGCAGGGCGGTCGACAGGGGAATAGGCTGAGAGGCTGCGGGCGAGGTGACTAAGATCCTTCACAGGGCTCGGCGCTCCCTGTGTTTGGAGGGGCAGGACCTTGCACCAACCTCCACGAAGGCATCAGTCAGGTCACTAGCTCGGTCCATCACCGGCAAATGGCGCCCGGCCACGATTTTCACCTTCAGCTTCCCAGGCATCGTCTCGGCTTCGGCCTCTCCTTGGGCTCCTGCAGAAATAAACAAGCGAGTCTGAGCCGAGCGCCCAGCGGGGCGGGGGAGAGACGGGGGCGCGCGGGGTAACTGACAGCGGAGGGCGCGCGCGGGCGCGCCGGGCCGCCACTTACTCTCGGAAGAAAAAGGGAGCCGTCCTGCGCGGGAACTGAGGCCTCATTCCGGAGAGGCTGCCGGAGGAGCGACCCCGGTGGAGGCTTCTGCCCCGGCTCCACAGCGCTGGCAAGAGAAGCAGAAGCCAGTCAACATCCCATTGACCCGCAGCCGCCCATGCGAGTGTTTCTCCTCCCCCCAAAATGGCGGCTCCCAGGGCGGGGAAGAGGCATCGATCGCTCGGCGCTCGGCCCACTTCTCCTGGGAGGCACTAAATTCGCGGAGAGCAGATAAAGGAGGCGGGACGGACTTCGAGGGAGCTGGTAGGCAGGGAAACGGGTCGAGCCCCGCATCGTCCACCGAGTCTGGGGCTGTAGTTTGGCGCCTTGCTGCTTCCCAGGAAGAAAACCTGCCCACCCTCTGGGAATGAACCGCAGCTGCGGCTCGGTAACTTCTGCAATGCATTTCCAAAAGGCTGGGACAGAAGGAGAAGCAGCAGAGACTGCTAGAGGAGCGATTTCAGTCTGCCTTTAACAACCCACTAGTAGTTCGTGAAATCAGCTTAACTGGTTTCTACCTGAAAAGGGTACAGTTTTTCTTATATCTGAAACAGAGTGAAAAATTTCAGGAACATCTTGGATAGTCGAGTAAGTATTCTGCAGTAACACTGTTTATTCAGTCATACACACGTGTACTGGGTGACAGATGTTAACGTAGATCTTTGGGGGAAAAAACCCCCCAAAATTTCGAAATCCAAAGCCACTGCTTGAAAGAAATTGCCCTGCACTCTTAGATCATCTCAGTGTGGTTATTAAACATCTGCAAACCTAAAGATAAGACCTACAATGTTGGCAGTAGTTCAGGACCTCCTATCATAGGAAATTGTGTTCGACTAATTGGACCAGATAAGCTTGATTAAACATCTTGAAGAATCGACCCAATTGTATATATACATAAACATGCTAAAATGAGGCCTAATTTATAAGCTCAGACCATCAGAAAAAATTAGGGAGGGCTTCCCTGGTGGCGCAGTGGTTGAGAATCCGCCTGCCGATGCAGGGGACAAGGGTTCGTGCCCCGGTCCGGGAAGATCCCACATGCCGTGGAGCGGATGTGCCTGTGAGCCATGGCCGCTGAGCCTGCGCGTCCGGAGCCTGTGCTCCGCAACGGGAGAGACCACAACAGTGAGAGGCCCGCGTACCGCAAAAAAAAAAAAAAAAAAAAAATTAGGGAAGTTGAAACACACATACGCAAGAGGTAACACAAATCACTCCATACCACGCGTCAAAAGTAGAAATAACAATACGTGCCATATCAGATACTAAAATCGGCACTAACCATTCCAGTAAAAAGATTATACCACTGGATTCATCAGGAGTGGAAAATTCCCAAATGAAGATATCAGGATGATATTTTTAACTTTAAAAATAAAGGCATCCAAATTGGAAGGAAAGAAGTAAAACTGTCACTATTTACAGATGACATAATACTGTATAAAGAAAGACTCTATGGAAAAATAATTAGAACTAATAAATGAATCCACTATAGTTGCAGGATACAAAATCAATGTATAGAAACCTGTTGCTTTCTTTAAACTAATAACCAACTATCAGAAGGAGAAATTAAGAAAATAATCCCATTTATAATTGTATCCAAAAGAATAAAATACCTAGGAATAAATTAATACAAGGTGAAAGACTTGTATACTGAAAACTATAAGACATTGGTGAAAGAAATGAGACACAAAATACTGAAAAATATTCCATGCTCCTGGATTGGAAGAATTAATATTGTTGAAATGTCCATATTACCCAAAGCATTCTACAGATTCAATGAAATCCCTATCAAAAATTACAATGCCATTTTTTGAGGACTAGAACAAACAATACTAAAATTTGTATGAAACCACAAAAGACCACAAATGGCCAAAGCAATCCTGAGAAAGAAGAACAAAACTGGAGGTATCACAGTCCATGATTTCAAACTATACTGCAAAGCTATAGTATCAAAACAGTATGATATTGTCATAAAAATAGGCACACAGATAAGTGGAACAGAATAGGGAGCCCAGAAATAGACCCACAAATATATGGTCAATTAACTAACAACAAGGGAGCCAAGAATATACAGTGGGAAACTGGATAGCTACATCAAAAGAATGAAACTAGACTACTATCTTATACCATAGGCAAAAATTAACTCAAAATGGATTAAAGACTTGAATGTAAGACCTGAAACCATAAAACTCCTAGAAGAAAACATAGGCAGTAAGATCCTTAACATAGGTCTTGGCATTGAAATTTTGGACTGACTCTGAAAGCAAAGGTAACCAAAGCAAAAATAAGTGGGACTACATCAAACTTAAAAGCTTCTGCATAGCAAAGGAAACCATCAACAAAATTAAAAGACAACTTACTGAATGGGAATACAAATCATATATCTGATAAGGGGCTAATACCCAAAATGTATAAAGAATTCAAACAACTAAATAGCAAAAAAATCAAACAATCTGATTTTAAAATGAGCTGAGGATCTAAATAGACATTTTTCTAGGGAAGACATACAGATGGCCAACAGGCACATGAAAAGGTGTTCAGCATCACTAATTATCATGGAAATGCAAATCGAAACTGCAATGAGATAGCAACTCACACCCATCAGGATGACTACTATCAAAAAGACAAAATTTAACAAGTGTTGGAAAGGATGTGGAGAAAAGAGAACACTTGTACATTGTTGGTGGGAGTGTAAATTGGTGCAGCCACTATGGAAAACATTATGGAGGTTCCTCAAAAAATTAAAAATAGAACTACTATATGGTCCAGCTCTTCCACTTGTTGGTATTTGCTGAACACAAAAACACTAATTTGAAAAGATGTATGCATTTGAATTGCAACATTTTACAAAATAGCCAAGATATGGAAGCAACCTAAGTGTCCCTTCATAGGTGAATGGATAAAGAAGATGTGTATGTATATACAGTGGAATACTACTTAGCCATAAAAAAACAAGGAAATCTTGCCATTTGTGACAACATGGATGGAACTTGAGGGATCATGATAAGTGATATAAGTCAGAGAAAGACAAATACCATATGATTTCACTTACATGTGGAATCTAAAGAAGAAAACAAATGAACAGACAAAACGAAACTAAACTCATAGATACAGAGAAAAGATTGATGGTTACCAGAGGAGAAGACAGTTGGGGGTGGGCAAAATGGGTGAAAGTGGTCAATTGTATGGATGGTAACTAGAATCACTGTGTTGATCACTTTGTGGTGTATACATATATCAAATCATTATGTCATACACCTGAAATTAATGTAATGTTACATACCAATCTTACCTCAATTAAAAAAAAAAAAAAGGCTTCCCTGGTGGCACAGTGGTTAAGAATCCGCCTGCCAATGCAGGGGACACGGGTTCAAGCCCTGGTCCGGGAGGATCCCACATGCTGCGGAGCAGCTAAGCCCATGCGCCACAACTACTGAGCCTGCTCTCTAGAGCCCATGAGCCACAACTACTGAGCCCATGTGCCTAGGTCCCGTGCCCCATAACAAGAGAAGCCACCGCAATGAGAAGCCCGCACACCGCAGCGAGGAATAGCCCCCGTTCACTGCAACTGGAGAAAGCCCATGCACAGTAACAAAGACCCAACATAGCCAAAAATAAATAAATAGATTTGTTTAAAAAATAATAATCATAGGGCTTCCCTGGTGGCACAGTGGTTGAGAGTCCGCCTGCCGATGCAGGGGACACGGGTTCGTGCCCCGGTCCGGGAGGATCCCACATGCCGCGGAGCGGCTGGGTCGGTGAGCCATGGCCGCTGAGCCTGCGCATCTGTCCTCCGCAACGGGAGAGGCCACAACAGTGAGAGGCCCGCGTACTGTAGAAAGGAAAAATAAAAATAATAATAAAAAAATAAAAAATTTAAAAAATTACTCAATGGGTTAAATTAAGTACTCTAGGCAGTGGTGACCCAGAATTATCTTTTCAAAGCAAAAATTTCTTTTACAGAAGGAATATTGCTTACGTAAGTGAGAAGTTGAACTACCTCAAAATAAAAATCTAAAAGAGAAACCACTGACTTTTTGGACTAGGGAAACCTTGATCCATCCAAACTATGACAAAAGGATAGAGACCACAGTTCCAATGCAAATTTCCTTAGATCTACCTGCAGTTTTTTTATGGAGTCTAACCCTACACTTAAAAATGCCCTTACCAGGGCTTCCCTGGTGGCACAGTGGTTGAGAGTCCACCTGCCAATGCAGGGGACACGAGTTTGTGCCCCGGTCCAGGAGGATCCCGCATGCCGCGGAGCGGCTGGGCCTGTGAGCCATGGCCGCTGAGCCTGCGCATCCGGAGCCTGTGCTCCGCAATGGGAGAGGCCACAACAGTGAGAGGCCCGCGTACCACAGGAAAAAAAAAAAAAAAGCCCTTATCATACTCTCAAGGTCAGCTATAGTACATGATCAGCTAATCCTAGTGTGTTTTGTTTTGTTTTGGTGGTAGAGTGAAAGGGCTTTTTTAGTGAAATCAAAGCGTTGCCATACTACCAGTTTTTCATTTTAGATACCAAAAAATATAAAGAGAAGAATTAGAAAACTGAAGTTTAGCAACAATCTTAATGAGAAATAATACATTGTGTTACAAGACGTTGTAATGTAAAAAAAAAAAAAAAAATTGCAAATTGCACAGTTAGAGGTTAGCAGTTCAGCCTCCTAATTAGTAGCCTGAGAGGTACTTGTACATAGCTGTTGCCTTAGGCTTCATCAACAGGAGATTATAATTAAGATGCTTCCTGAAGATTTTTTTTTTTTTGGTAGAATTAAGCCTGACTTCAGTTTGTCTTCTAATAATTGCACCAGTTTCTTTTCATTAGTGCTGGGAACAATGCTGAATTTCCTGACAAATCCATCATGATCTGGTTCCTGATTACCTTCTTTAGCTTCATACCTTGCCACACTTTTTGCATTTTAAATCCTACAGTAATAACAAGAGCTAATGTATATTGAATATCTACTGTGTACCAGCTGCTGAATTCAGTGCATCTCAGCTTTTATGCCTCCCGAAAAATCTGACATAGGAATTATCAGCTTTCATTTTATAGATGAGGATGTTGAGGCTTGGCAAAGGTATGGTCATTACCCAAAGTCACAGAGCTGGTAATTTTGGAGACAGGGTTTATATCTAGACAATGCCATTCCAAGAACCCATATTCTTTAAAGGCTGTAT